ATACTAACTTCCAGAGTTCTCAGGAGCCAACTGCCTCAGCCTGGTCAGATTCAAGGATCCCCTTCCCTCCATAGGAAGGGAACCAAAGTGAGCTGGAGACAACAACTTAATGTCACATGGCATCCTAAGGGGCTCCTAAAACAGGAAAAGGAACATTAGGGCAAAACTCAGGAAATTGGAATAAAGTATAGACTTTAGTTGGTAATAATATATCAATATGGGTTCATTAACTTTAATAAATGTGCCATATTAATAACCACTTACCAGTCCAATTACGTAAATACAGAATAACCAAAACTTGCATATCTTTTGTTAATTTTTATAACAGGATGGGCTGGGGATTTAGCTCAGTGGTTCCACCACCTGCCTTGCAAGCACAAAGTTCCAAGTTCGATCCCTTGAACAAATTTTATCAAATTTATTCAGTAATTATTCTGTGTATGGTATATCTTTTTTTTTTCTTTTCTTTTCTTTTTGGTACTGGGGATCAAACTCAGGATCTTGCATTTGCATGGCAGGCGGGAGAACCACTGAGCTAAATCTCTGGCCCTGTGTAAGGTATATTTTAATACATTCCAATACACAATGCAACCTTAGTCTTTCTTTGAACAATATACTTTACACTGTCATGTTGGCCTTTTTTTTTCTATTGATGGTATGATTTCAATAAAATGTCTACCCACTAAATGTAATTGGTGAAGATGTCAATAATGAATGTCCTGATTTTCATTTTGTTATCCTGTATTTTTAATTACTTGGTCTATTAGACCTCATCTAAACTGTAAATGACTTTTTTGTTTGGTTGGTTTTTGAGACAGTCTTGCTAGGTAGTTCAAACTGAACTTGAACTCTCTGTTGTCCAGGCTGGCCTTAAACTATTAGTGATCCTCCTGCCTCAGCTTCTCAAGTGCTGGGATTACAGGTATGTGTCACCATGCCCAGCATGTAATGACTTTTTAAACTCCCTTGTTCCCTTTGTTTTGGCACCAGGGATCAAACTTGGGTCCTTGCGCTTGCGAAGCAGGAGGTGGAACCATTGAGCTAAATCCCTGCCCTGTTCCCTTTGTTTTGAATAGATAGCAAATTAGTTCTGTATTGTTTGGTCCAGAAGGTACATAAATATTTTATTTATTTTTTATAGAAAATATATATTGGTAGGGCCAGGGATTTAGTTCAGTGGCACCACACCTGCCTCACATGTACAAGGTCCTGAGTTTGATCCCCAGTACCAAAAAGGAAGAAAAAAAACATATTATACATGTACATTTTAGGCATACATAATGATAACACTCATCAAAGGAAATTTGTACCTGCACATGGTACATCCCACCTCTCTTCCCAGTCCCCTCTCCCTGCAGGGCCCCTCCCCTCACTATGTACAAAAGCTTTGTTTCCATTTTTTCCATTTTCTCCTTTTTTTTCTTGTCCCTTCCTTCCTTTTTCCCTCCTCCCTCCCTTGTTCCCCTTCCCATTTGAACATTTTCTTCCCATTTCCCAATATCTATTATACATATTAGTCCTTATTTTCACTTTCAGTTTTTTGTTTTTTGTTTTTGGCACCAGGGATCGAACTCTGGTCCTTGTGCTTGCAAGGCAGGCGGTGGAACCACTGAGCTAAATCCCCGTCCTCTCCACTTTCAGTTTCTCATAAATATTTTATTTTATTTATTTATTTTTATTTTGGGTTTTTTTGTTTGTTTGTTTGTTTGTTTGTTTGTTTTGAGACAGTGTCTCACTATGGAGTTGAGGCTGACCTGGAACTCACTATGTAGCCCAGGCTGGTCTGGAACTCACAGCGATCCTTCTGCCTCAGTCTCCCAAGTGCAGGGATTATAGACATGCACCACCACTCCTGGCATAAATATTTTATAATAATATTTTTTCAGCTCTTGTTAGATGTTGGTCAATTTTGTCAACACCATCCATAGAATTATTATAATCATGGACCACTATTGGAATATTTTAGTTTTGTTTCTTCTTTCAAGTTCTATTTCTGCATTATGAATAGTTGAAAATAAGGAGATATCTTGTCTTTTCATTTCAGACTTTTCTTCTCTGATATGCTAACATTTCTCCCTTTTCAGCTTTTTCTTTTGCAGATGTTTTGGCACTTCCTTCCTATTCATTCTCCATGTCCCAAATGTGTCTGTTTGGCATTGTAAAAGAATAGCACTGCGTTCTGGAGAAGTATAAACATAGGTAATAGCCAGGCGTGGTGGCTCATACCTGTAATCTCAGCACTTGGGAGGCTGAGGCAGGAGGATCTCTGTGAGTACGAGACCAGCCTGGGCTACATAGAGAGTTCCAGGTCAGTCTCAACTACATAGTGAGACCCTGTCTCAAAAAAACAAAAACATAGATAATGTACTTATAATAAGAATTTTTATAGATTGTAGCACCAAATTATAGGTTCACAAATAAACACAAATCAAAGAAAATCAGAACTTATTAGATTTCACTAGAAACAAACATCAAAGGCATTGAAACAACATTCAATTAAAGTGTGCGAAAAACAGTCAATATAAAACAGATCAAAATAAACAAATAAACAAATAAAACAGATGTGCAAGTGTATTTTGTGCAAACAAGAATTGACTGGTTGAAATGACACCTGCCCTAGTGACACTTGGCAGTCAGTACGTAAAAAAATGTGCAACCTGAGTGACACTCAGGATAAACTAATAAATGGTTAATATGGAAATTGAGGAAAATGAAAATTATTACTTTTTTTGATGAGCCAGGTTTTTTTTGGCACCAGGGATTGAACTCGGGTCCTTTCACTTGCAAGGCAGGTGGCGGAACCACTGAGCTAAATCCCTGGCCCCTAAAATTATTACTTTTTAAAAAAACATGGTTTAACTATGTGGCCCAGGCTGGCCTCAAACTGTCATGGCATTCCTCCTGCCTCAGCCTCCCAAGTGCTTGGATTACAGATGTGCACCACCCCTAGCTCTCTTACCTTGTGTCTATATGGTAATGTGCGTGTATGGTAATGGGGTTTGAGCCTAAGGAGTCTTCAAATATACTCCAATCCCTTTTTATTTTCTTGAGACAGGTTCTCATGAAATTATTCAGGCTGGATTCACACTTGTGATCCTCCTGCTTCAGCCTCTATAGTAACTAATTAGAGAAAGGTATGTACCACCACACCCAGAGCTTCTTTGCAAGTTTTATGTCAATCTTAAACTGCTTTAAAATACATTTTCTTTTCCTTTTTTTTTTGTACTGGGGATCAAACTCAGGTACTTGCACTTGTGAGGCAGTTGGCAGAACCACTGAGCTAAATCTCCAGCCCATAAATTTTATTTTCAAAAAACCCATTCCTACCCAGTAAAATTTTAGAAACTCCTAAATAGGATCGGAGATTTAGCTCAGTGGTTCTGCTGCCTGCCTCACAAGTGCAAGGTCCACTTCAATCCCTGGTACCAAAAAAAAACAAAACAAAACAAAAAAACAAACCAAAAACAAACAAAAATAACTCATAAATACACAAAACTTAGTTTATATCTCATTTTCTCCAAGGGTCTCTGTCTTAGGTACTTTTCTTGTTGCTGAGACAAAATACCTGACATTCATAGTTAAGGGAGGAGTTAAGGTAGAGTTTTCCATAGTTTATATTTGGTTAATTGTGTTCTTGTGTCAATACATTTTTACTCTACCAATATTTTCTGTAGGTTGGTGGATCCAGGTTCTTGACTAGACTCAGGTTAAAAAAAATTTTTTTTTAAGACAGTGTCTCACTATGTGGTTCAGGTGAGTCTTGAACTATGTAGCCCAGACTGGCTTTGAACTCAAAGCAATTTTTCTGCCAGAGCATTCTGAGCGCTAGGATTACAGATGTGTGCCACCATGCCAGGCTCAGGTTCAATTCTTTTTTTTTTTCCTGGTACCAGGGATTGAACTCAGGACCTCTCACTTCATGTGTGGTGGGGTTCTCACTATGTAGTTCAGGCTATTCTCAAACTTGTGATCCTCCTGTCTCAGCCTCTTGAGTGCTAGGATTACAGTCCTGCCCCATTACTTCTTGGCAGAAGTGCAAATTCCTGGGCCCTATTAGAGACTTACTAAATCAGAAACTCAGGGTGAGGCCCAGCAATGTGGGTTTTTTGTTTGTTTTGTTCTGGTACAGGGAATTGAACTCAGGGCCTTGCACTCGCCAGGCAGGCACTGAATCGCTGAGCTACATCCCTGGCCCTCCAGCAATGGGTTTTAACAAGACTTCTGGTGATTCTGTCAAAGTTTGAGCACTACTAACACTGGTTGCCCCTAAAATGGCCTCAATCAGCCATTATTTACTGAGGTCTTACTGTGTGTATGGCGATATGCTCAGTGCTGAGCATTATGGCAGCAAACAGGTCCTGGGCCCACAAGGAACTCAGTTTACTTAAGGAAAAGGTCATAGGCTGGTGAAAAGCTAACGTGACAGTAGCACTATGCCACACAGGAATAAGAGCCAGGTGAATCCAAGTTCAGAGAGAACATCTGGTTGGCAAAGGTTTTAGAGGTGTCTCCAGCTAGTCCTTAAAGGAGATAAAGACTTTTTCCTTGTGGGAAGGAAGAGGGAGGAGACTGGCATGAGTAAAGGTAGATAGGGAAGGGGCCAACTCGCTGACAAGGCTGCTTTCTTCTCTCTTCTTACCGTCGCCACTCCCGTAGTACTCTCTAGCAGTCCTGCTGTCTTGGGACTTTTTCACGGTTGTCTTCTTGTTCGTGCACTAACACACTGTGGAGGTCACCTTGTAGTGGGAACCAGGGCTGGAATACAGATGTGGTTTTGTGGGCTGGTGAGGGCAACAGGACGTCTGAGGAATCTTTAGCTTCTGCCATAAATGTGCTACAGATGTGCTCTGAGGGTCGGTAGAGCTATCGCAGAGGAAAATACTGTACTGAAAACAACGCAGCTTCCAGCTCAGAAGGCCGAGACACTCACTGATCTGCAAAACCTGGACTCCCAGCCCAGTCCGCAGCGGTGGGTGGTGCTGCGCGGCGGAAGCGGAAATCTGGGCGGAAGCTCGGTCTTGCGGGCCAAGATGGCGGCGCCCAGGTAGTACCTAGCAGATAGGTTACTGGGTTTGAGGGATGAACTTCAGGTGACTCGGGCAGGGCACTCGGGGACGGGGGTGTTTAACTCCTTTGCTGTAACGTTTCTGAGGGTCTTTCGTGCATACAGAATGGCTGTGGCGCCTTCCAGCGCGTAGATCTCGCCTTTGGCGCTTCATCGGCCAGCGACAAACACTGTGAGATTGGGTGATTGCTGGTGGCTGACACAGTGGTCCAGGACTCTACTAGAGCCCTACGAACAGTCACAGGAGCCAACTTGGGGTGGCTGAATCTGACTCCTAAGGGATAGGCTGCAAAGAGGAAATCCGAGAAGATACTGGTTCGGTGTTAGCGTTACGTTGCCCGAGGGTTATTCAATAGGAACCGTCCCTACTGAGCTTCAAGATGTTATCGCTGCCAGCACAAATTGGTTCTGGGCAAATCTACCTTGTGGCTTTACCTAGGACTGAAGTCATTGCTATCCTTTACTGAGGCATAGTCACTATGGTAGGCGCTGTGGGTGCACAATCATTCAAGTCCACAAAAGTCTTGTTCTATAAGACTTGTTATTCACGTTTTACACTTTTGGAAACTGGACTTGGGCTAACTTACATGACTTGCCCAGTTTGTACAGCTTGTAAATAGTGGAGCTGGTATTTAATTTCTAGTATCTTGATTCCAAAGCTCATGCTTATAACCACCCAGACTCTCTTTGTAATGTGAATTATGGCCCACCTCAATATTTAGCCCTGTTTTGTTTTGTTTTTGTTTTTTTTTTTTTGTACCAGGGATCGAACTTGGGCCCTTGCGTTTGCCAGGCAGGTGGTGGAACCACTGAGCCAAATCCCCCAGTCTGCCCTGTTTTTAACCTTGAGAAAATTTTCCCACCTCTGAAATGCTGCAGCACTAATTTTCTGTATGATTCTTTGGTCACTGGTCCTGCATTTTTAATGCGTATGTGTGTTTACCATATCCCTCCACCCAGAATTGGGTGCATCATTTGAACAAAGAAAGACTTCTGTAATCAGAAGCTACAAATATTTGGATTTTCTTGGCTTATGGGGGTAGAGAGAATTAACTAGAAAAGTATTAATAGTCAATATTTTGGCTTGATCTATCTCCCCAGGCATTGAGCCCAGAAGCTGGATTTTACCTTCATTTCTTTGTATTTGTAAGCCTCTTTTACACCACTCTGCCCAGAGTAAACTTCCAAAAACTATGTTTGGTGCTGTTCTGAACTCAGGACCTTATGCTTGCAAGGCAGGCATAGTGCCACTGAGCTAAATCCCTACCTTTGGTGCAGTTCTTAAAGCCACACCCTCCTGTGGTGATTATGACATTTCTGCACCTGTTAGCCCATGTGTTTTCGATACTGGCCCAATTACTAGATCTCAGCCTGGCCAAGTATGGTGTTGCAGGCCTATAATCCTAGCACTTAAGAGGCTGAGGCAGGAGGTTCCCTGTGAGTTCAAGGCCAGCCTGAAAATGACACCTTGTGTCCAAAATAAATAAATAAATAAATAAAAATCTGATCCTGCATAGACCTAGATTAAGAAAAATAGTAAGGAAATGTGTTGCTCAGTACTTTTATTATTCCTGCTAGCCTGCCTTGTCTTCCTGTGTCTTGCCCTCCTGAAGGGAGGCTGCTAACTTCACTGAGCTTTCCCAAGTACCATGTTTATTCCCTGCATTTATACTTTTGCTCAACTTTCCTTCAGGTTGGATCCTGGCTTATTTTTTAAGATCTAGTTTGGTGGTTTTTAGTGAGGGTTGATTTTTTTCCTGAGGGAATGTTGAGCAGTGTCTGGAAACTTTTTTTTTTTTTTTTTTTTTTTTTTT